GGGAAGAAATTTTTTATCAAAAAAAATAGAAATATTTGAAAATACAAAACTGACAAATTTTTTCAAACTTGAAAAAGATTTTTTTATTTTTTTGTAGGGAAAATTTTCACTTTATATGAAGTTTTAGGAAATTTTTCACTTATGGACATTTGTAAAGAAATTTTAGATTTAATAATTATATATTTAATGGGGAGTTTTTTGGGAATATTTTCCTTTTTGAGATTTCTGGAAGAATTTTTCCCTTTGATTTTTTTCTTGGGAAAATGTTCACTTAACGTTCTTTTAACTATTTTACATAGATTTTTTATTTTGTTGCCTTTATAAAGTCCTTACTGTATTTGTATAATTATTTTGTCTTCTTTTGTTGTTGTATCTTTGTTGTTATTATATCTTTCTGTCTGTCGTTTTTGTTGTTGTTGTAATTTATATCTCAGTTTCTAATTGCATTTAATGTTAAGTTGTAAAACTTGAACTCAAAAGTCAAGCAAAAAATATTAGCTAAACTGCTGTTTGGTTAATTGCAAGGCTGCTGAGACACACACACACACAGGGGGAGAAACACACATACACATACAAACAAATGAAAAAAATAAATAAAATGAAAATCACAAAATAAATTGCCAAGATATTCTAATAATTTTTAATTAGCATTACAACATATTCAATACTTTTTCATTAACCTTTTGAATAGATAAATAATGTAATTAAAATGAATTTTGAAATAAAAAAATAATTTAAATATAGATGTCTATTAGAAATATATGAATTATATTTTTGTAACTTTCACACAATTTCTAAAAATTGTTAGAATGTGATTTAAACAAACGAAATTACATTTTTTTGGAATATTTTTTTGAAAAATATTTTGTCCAAATTTTTCAAAAAAAAAAAAAAAAAAATGAAAAATATTTTATCCAATTTTTTTAATATTTTTTTCTTGAAAAAAAAAAATTAGAATATTTTTTTCAAAAAATTTTTTGTCCAAATTTTTCAAAAAAAATTTTTTTTTGAAAAATATTTTATCCAATTTTTTGAATATTTTTTTTTCTTGCAAAAAATATTTATTTTCCTATTTTTTGGATTTTTTTTTTTTTGAAATTATGTTTTTTTTAAATATTTAATAAATTAATTGTGTTTAAATAAAAGAAATTAAATTTTTTATAATATTATTTTAAAAAAATTTTGTCTTTTTTTTCGAATATTATTTTTTAAAAAATATTTTGCTCAATTTGTACGAATATTTTTTTTTCTTAAAAAAATATTATTTTTTTTTTTTTGGAATATTTTTTTAAATTACTTTTTTCCAAACATATTTTTTTAATATTTAATAAATTAATTTTTTTCTGAGTATATTTACTTTCTCTTCTCACATTATTGTCTTCCTTATCTTGTTGTATTATTTTCCTTATTTTGCTGTTATTGTGGTTTTTGTTGTTGTTGTGCATTCCTCCCTTTTTATTTTAATTATTATTACAGCATAAGTGTGAAATGCATATGAATGTCATTTTGAGACAAAGTCCATTTCATTTATTAATTTACCATACAACACAATAATTAATTACTGTCACGCCTTTAAGACAAGAAGAACAGAACGAACAACGAACAGAGCAACAACTAACGACAACAGCAACAAAGCCAGCAACAATAATAATGCCAACAACTACTATGTCTATATACATACTTATGTGAAAGGCTACATTGACTTGCCCTGTCTAATGAAGTGAGTGAGTGACTGACTGAATGACTGCATAACAATTCTGTGGATTTTTTTTTTCAGTTTTTTTCATTTTTATTTTTTTTTTTTTTTTAATTTTTTGAAGAGCAAAGACAATTCATCCATCCATCCCCACACGTTTTTAAACATATGTTAAATGCAAAAAAATACTTTGCAAAAAATCCCCTACCCAGGAGGGAGCAGGGAGGAGGGTAAAAACTAAATGCAAAAAAACGAAGCGATATGATATTTGTCGTTGGCCTGTCATCAGGGGTGTAGATGTGTTTTTTTGTTGCTGTCGTTGGTGTTGTTCAAGACATTAGAGCTGTGTTTTTTCCTTTCGTTTTTCTGTCTGACGGGACAACACCTAGTGTTAACGCTCGCCCAAAGGAAGTGGGAGAGTGTAGGGAGAGCAAAAAACTATGTTGATTGTTTGTTTAAACTTGGAATACCATTTAAAAGCAAATTTATTTCAAATCATACTTTAAAATGTAATAAACATACAGACAGACAGACAACACACACAGGGCAGGGTATGTCGTCTTGAGGGTTTCGGATAGTTTGTAGGAGTATAAATATATACATGTGTATGTTTTTAAGTAGATTACTTTTCTTCAAGAAGGGGTGTACTACTTTGTTGGAAGGTTGTTGTTGTCGCTGTCATGACAAGTTTTTGAAATTCTTTTTGGAGCTTTTGTTTAAATGAAGTTTACTGGAACGTGGTGGTGTTGTCTTGCCAAACAACAATTTTAGGCTGTGAATTGCAAATGCATGAGTGAGTCGGTGTGTGTGCACTGTGTGTGTCTGTCAACTCAAGCAACCAACCAGCCATCCATCCATTCATTCGTCTCTCCGTCCGTCTTTGTTTTGGGTGAAATTGTATGAATTGTCGCCTACAAATGTTAACGTCGCCATGCGCAAATTGTTTTGTAGACATATTTTGTGCCATTGCTGGCTGGTGTTGTTCTTGTTGTTGTTGCTGTTGAATGGTGCATTAAAATTAAAACCATCCACATGAAAAAAACGTTTTTTTGCTGCTCTTAAGACCCACAGCAAAACTGCAGCATGCTGGTGTTAAATAGCAAGCAATCGGAATAAGGAAAACAACGTTGCGCAAGAGGGGGAAATACGCTGCACATGTTATTTTAAAAATAGGCGGCCTTTAAGGCGTCAGCCATTATGGTTTATATTATAAGGAAAGCAACAGCAGCAACAACAACAATAATAATATATGAAGAAGAAAATAAATAACAACAACACACTGATATTACAGAAATGCGAATAAACGTCAAATTGATTTCGTCGTTAATGTAAGGAAAAGGCAACACAAAAAAAAATTAAAAAAAAAAATGAAATGAGGGAAAATGCAGGATGGAGAATAATGGTAGGGGAAGGGGTATGATAAATAAAAATATTTATTTTTACCTCCAACTATTGAAAAATATCAAAAATACATTTTTTAATATTGAAAAATTTATAAAAAATTCTCCTAAAAATAGACAATATTTTTTCAATTTTTTTTTAATGTTTTTTATAAAAATGTGTTGTGAATGGAGATGAAATTATTTTATATATATATATATATATATAAAATTGTGTTATAATAAAATATAAAGAACTTCCCCAAAAATAATGTCCATGATTTTTTTTCTGCCTAAAAGTAGGCAATAATTTTATACATTTTGGAAATTTTAAATGTTTTCTTTCAAAAGAAGGAATATTAAAATTATTAAAAAATATCTATCAAAAAAATATTTCCATTGAATTCCACTAAAAAATATTTTTGTCCTATTTTTTTTACCTAAAAAAATATATTTTTGTCCTATTTTTTAATAGGCTATATTTGTCATATTTTTGTCTTCCTAAAAGTAGGCACTTGTTTTTTTTTTTTTAATGTTTTTGTTTTATACAAATAATTTATAAATAGGACAAAATATTTTATGTGCATTGTGAAAATTATTTCTTTTTTTATGAAATGCAAAGAAATTCTCTTAAAAATAGTACCCATATTGTTTTTGTCTACCTAAAAGTAGGCAATAATTTTATGAAATTTTTATATTAATTTTATTTTTTTATATTTTTATTCTCATATACATAAAAAAATATTTTTAAATACTTTATAAAAAAATGTTTTCAAAAATATTCCCATTAAATTTCACACAGAAAATATATTTGTCTTATTTTGCATCCTTAAAAGTAGGCAATATATGTTGTTTAGGAATGTTCTCTTTATAAAAATCATGTGAATTGGGGAAAATTTTTTTATTATTTTTTTTTTGTTTCCAAAAATATTTCCTTGCAATCCCCAAAAAATGTGCAATAGTTTTCTAAAATGATTATTTTGCCCCTAAAAATATGCAATTATTAGTTTTTCTATTTATTTTATTATTATTTTTTTTTTTGCATCTCAATTGCATTTTTTTAAACCCCGATAAAAATTAAAATAATACGCTGTACCTTATATAACATGTAGTAACCCCTTTAACCCTCTCTCTGTCCCCCCTCTCCCTCCATTTTTCCTGAAGTCTGAGCCCGCAATTTCCACTTTTGGTTTTCATGCTCTACTCTTCATTATTGTTATTATGGTGTTTGCTGTTGGTGTTATTAGTATGATGTTGTTGTTATTGTTGCCATTATACTAGTGCATTGTTGTTGTTGCTGTTGCTTTTGTATTTTCTGTTTGATGGCTGACTGACGTAGTGAATGTCTTGAAATGTTGTTGAATGACGACGACGACGAACACGACTCAATTGCACACCAAACACAAAAAAAGGGGGACGTGCCAAATTCAAAGTTTTATGCCATGACTTGAGTTCGATGGTTGGTTAGTTAGCTTGGCGGTTTTGGTAAGACGCCCCAGCTGTCTGGCTGGCTGAATACGCAGGCGCGCATAACTGCAACAACAACAGAACTACTAGTGGTTCTTATTAGTTGTTATTATTAGTGTTGTGCATTTAGTTCGTCTGTATGTCTGTCTGCTCGCTGTAAAGCCTGTTTTAGTTTAGTTGCTTGCCTTTTTTGTTGCTGTTCTTTCATTCCTTTTCTTTATTTTGTTTTTTTTTCTGTTTCTGTTTTTCTGATAATTATAGGCTACTAAACGGTTAATTATCGACATTTAATATGGCAGTCGTTGCAGTATGTTTTGTTTGGTTCGACTGCCCTCACACACACATGGTTGCCAGTTGCAGTTGAGTTGAGGTTCAGGTTTTGGAATATTTTTTCTTTTTTTTTTGCAATTACAAAATGGCGTTATAGAGTAAAGTAAAAGAAAATGCTTAAAACTTACCGTTAAATGTTGGAACAGCCACGCTCTTAAAATATTTGTTGCTACTTTTGGGAAAATGCCACGTTTCTTTTGGTTCTTTTTGCCATTTGCATCGTCATCCTCTTCGCCCGTGCCCTCCCCGCTGCCTATACTGGCATTGCTGGCATCGCCTGGAATTGAAAAAAAAAAATATTCAAAAATTAGTAAAATGTATAAAAAATAATTTTTAGAAAACAAAAAACAAAATAAATAAATAAAAAATTTATAAAAAAAATATTAAAAAAAAAATAATAAAATATAGAACAAAACTTTGTAAAAAAATATGAAAAAATAACTTTTGTATTTTTAAGCGTATATATACGAAATATCATATATGTAATATAACCATAAATTAATCAAGAAAAACAGCCATCTCAGTAACGTAAAAAATTCCAACAACAACAACAGTTTTTTTATTATCCCCTGCAATTTTTTGTTTTTGCTTTATTTTATTTTTTTTAATTAAAGCCAACAATATTTTTTGCGTTGTGCAATTCTTTTTTTCGCCCTGCCATTTGTCTTCTCCATGGAATGCAGTCAGCGTTCAAAGGGTAGGGAAAGGGCTCGCAAAATAAAATAGAAAAAATAAACCACAAAAACTATAATAAAATGTAACGTAAAATGTAGTGGATTGGAAAAGAAGAAGAAGAAAAAATATTTTTTTAAATAAATTGTGACTGAACGCAGCAGCTAGAAAAGAAAATCTAATAAGTTTTTCCAGCAGCAGTGGCAGTAGCAGTACGAAAAAAATTCGCATGAAAAGAAAATCACAAAATTTACTGCAAATTGGAATTTTGTGAGCTATGTAAAAACGAAGAGGGGTGCAGTGGGTTGGCCTGGTGGCTGTAATGTGTCCTGTTTTTCGATGATGCAATGAAAGTTAAAAAAAAATATTTTGTTACATTGCTAGATTGGGTTGTTTCTTTTTTTTTTTTTGGAAATAACTTAATGCATTTAGCTAGGGCCAGATAAGGCAAAAGGATGAGGTGAAATGGAGTGAAGGGGAAAACTGAGGAAATTATTTTCTTTAAAGGAAAATAAATGAGAGAAATAATTACAAAATATATATATTTGTTTATAATAGGAAGAAGAATACCAACAAATCTTCCACAGTAAGAATACTCCTGCAGCTCTTCCATAGGAAGAAGAATACCTGCAGATCTTCCACAGGAAGAAGACTCTTGCAGCTCTTCCACAGGAAGAGGAAGGCCTGTAGCTCTTTCAAAGGAACAATAATACCTGCAGCTCTTCCACAGGAAGAAGGCTTCTGCAGCTCTTCCACAGGAAGAGGAATGCCTGCAGCTCTGTTATAGGAGGAAAGGAGACCATTTGAAAAAAAAATATATATAAATTTTTTAAAAATTCCTAAAAAATGCGTTTTTTATTTTTTTTTTATTTAAATTTTCAAAATCTCCCTAAAACTATCCCCTTTTAAAATCGAGCTAATTTTTTTTTTTTTTTTTTTTTGAATTTTGAGTGAATCCCTTGCCTTATCTCCTAAATGAAGTGCTTAGATGCTTATGAAACCATTTTGGGAAAAAATAAATTTAAAATTATTTTCACTTAATAAAAATTATAGATAATTGGGAAAATTGTTCCCTTCCCCTATTCCCCAAATATTTTTACCCACAATATAATTTGTTTTAAATTTGTGAATTCTTATTATCTGCGAAAGAAAAAAAGACCCTTTTAAGTGCAAGCTACTTGAAAATCACTTGTAATGTCAAGATATGTTCCCTCTCCATCTCCCGCACTCATATATAGATATCCATCCACCATAATGCAATAAGATGGATGAGTTGCCCGATGCGGAAGACCAAAATCTTCGCCAAGTGGCTTTTGCACATCGTTATTATAACAATAAGCAACACGCCTTTAAAAAATGAAAGATAAACTATGTATGTAATATAAGTTTATATATGTTGACTTCAAGTGGCCATAATCTTCATGTTTTTTTGCTGCTCCTCTTCATGGGTTCCATAGAAGATGAGCCTCAAGTATGCTGGAATTATGTTGAATCTTCTATTCTCTACTTTTTTGGGGTCGGGGTTTTTTTGTGCTTTAGAATGCCTATTAAAGTGTTGTTAAAGTGCTGGGATTTTTGTTCTTCTCGAGAGCTATATTTTTTACAAGTACTCTATATTATTATTATGTAAGTTATAGGTTGATAAAAAAAGCGATTATGATGAACTTGGAAAATGCGAACCATAAATCCATTAATCATTTGAAAAAAATTTTTTTAGAGAAATACTTGAGACTGAATCGATTGTGTGTGGTTAATGTCAAGGAGTGTGTTTTTTATATTTTGGGAAGGAAATAGGGGGATGGGACATTCGAAAATATTATTAAAAAAAAATTAATTTTTGGAGGTAATAGAGGGATTGGAAATTGGAAAATATTATTAAAAAAATTATATAAAATTTTGACATTTATTTGAAGAAAAAATGTTAAGAAAAAATTTGAAAATTAAAAAAAATATGTTATTTTATTACATTTTTATTATAAAAAAAATTCAAAAATTTTTTATAAAATTTTTAAATTAATTTTGCAGAAAAGCTTTAAAAAAAGACGTAGGTAAAAAAAATTAAAAAAAAAAAAAAAATTTAATTAATTTTTATTATTAAAAAAATCAAATTTTTTGTAATTATTTTTTAAAGAATTTATTTAATTTTTTTAATTATTTTTTGCCTTAAGCTGAAATTGCTAGACCTTTAAATCCATTCAAGCATTTTATTTGAATTTATTTAATTTTTTATTTTTTTTAATTTTTTTTTTTATTTAAATTTTTTTATTCATTTAATTTTTTATTTATTTTTAATTTTTATTTACTTAAATTTTTTTCTTCTCTCTTCACTTGCCACCCTCCATATATGTTTGCTGTCACACATCATACCAATATCTTCATTATGTTCGAGTGTGTGTGTGTGTGTCTGAGATTGTTTATCTCTCGCCCCTCAAAAATCCATTTCATTCACATTACAATTGTTTAGTTCTTTTGTTTGTTGTTTACTCTGCATTGTTGTTGTTGTTGCTGTTGTTATTATTATTGTTGTTAGTTGGCTTTAAAATTAATATTTGTCATTAAAAACCCCGAGAAAAAACTTGGCCATATGAGAAGCCACCTACTAGGCAGAATTGGAGCTAGGAATCTAGTGTTAGAAAGAGGTTGCTGGAAGTGTTGGTGGAGAGGAGGAGGGGGCATTGAGGAGTAGAATGTGTGATTTGGAGTTTTGAAATGAATATTAATGCCAATGATGACAATATTTTTGTTGTTGTTTTTTTTTAGTTTTTGTTTTGCTGCTATGCCCTGTAGTTATTTTTTGGTATGGTCTATTGGAGTTTATTTAGCTGTTGTTTGTACAACCAACTTACAACAATGTGTGTTTTGTTGTTGTTTTTGTTATGCATAATTATTTTTGGTGTTATTTAGAAAACAAACAAAAAACAACAACAACAATAACAATGGTTTGAAAACAAAAACTCTAAGCCAAAAGGGAAAGAGAAATTTAAGGCGAATTAAAAAAAATCTTATAAATGTATGGTGCATACTTTTAGGGGCTTATCAAACATTTCAATCATAAAGATCCATTTTTATTCCCATATACTTATGGCTATTATAAATTGTATAAAAAAAAAATAATATTTTCTTTGCAAAATTATCTTTTCAACTGTCCTCCTTTTCTTGGCTGCTGTGGCAGGCCTCCAAATAATGATAAATCAATAAAAGGTCAATTTAAGGTTGACAAGCCAACACACTCAACCACAACTGATTATAGTGGTTTGTTGTATATGATGAGAAAAAAATTCGAAAATTAATAAAACTCTCATTAAAGAGTTTTTCCAGTTGGCAGCCAGTTCAGATGACAAATGGTGTACCACCCACCCATTACTTAAAACCAAAACCAACCAAAAAACGATAAAATTCAAACTCAACTCAGCGACAACTTCTAAAAAAATAAATAATATTTTTTTGTTTTGATTTTCAAACTCGGTGTGGTCTGGGAGCCTAAAAAAAACACTGAAAAACTCAATGGTACTCGTGCTAAGCCAACATGTCGAGGAGGTAGGCCGGCTGGCTGACTAGCTGGCTATGTGGTAGGTTGTTGCTTAGCTGGTTGTATGGCTTGTTTGATGACGACGACTACGATGTTGTGGATGAGGATGATGATGGCCTGAAAGTCATGTATTTAAAAAGTCATTGTTTTTATTGTCACTAAAGCGTGTTGTACGTGTCGTCTGTAAACACTTGAAATAACAAGCTTTAGCACCCATCCGGAGGATCATCAACACCACCACCAGCACCAACCACCACTTGGCAGAGACAGACAAGAAGTGATTTAAAACACAACTTGAAGATGTTTTGGAAAAAAAATATTTAAACAAAAAAATATTATGCAAAAATTGTTTTTGTTGTTGTTTTATGTTTGGTTTATAATTGTAGTAATGCCTTCTGCATAAAATAAAAATTGATTATATTTTGAAATTCATTTTCAAAAATCATCAGCTTCATTCATCAAATAAAACAAAAAAATAATAATATTTTCTTAACACTTCTTCTACGTGATTGGTGGATCGGTTCTCGGGCTAGGAAAAATGCGTAAGACGTATAAATTGTTGCTGTTTGGCATAAAAACTACTTTGGTGTTAAATGATAAATTCTTTTTACACAAATCAAGTAGTTATATACATATACACAATGTTTATTTGAATTAAAATTTTAGCCGCCACAGCATTTTTTTCTTTTAAACACACAGACACACACTCGTCATTATTCACACAAATACATAAATAAATATTAAACATGTGTAGAGACTGGGGCATTCTCGGCACTTTGGACTTTTTGACTTTAAACAGATTTCCGGTCAAGTTAGCAAAAGAGTTGCTTGTTGTTGTTTTTTTTTTTTTTTGTTCTATTTTCCTTTCACATTGTTTGATTTCTTTTCCCAATCGAAGATTTTCTTCATTCTTCTTCTTATGGCAAATTTTTTCATTGTTTGGTTTGGTTTTCCATCAAATGTGTGTTTTTTGTTGTTGTTGTATTTCATATGCTTTATAAGTAATTTTTCCTTTCCTTACGTAGTTTGATTGGTTGTTTGGAATTTTCAATTGTTGTTGTTTTATTTTTTTCTCT